GTCACCAAGGGATATCGCGGTTACTAGGCAGCCGTCAACAACTCCGGACAGCGTGGCTAGCAACAAGGGTGCCTATTACGTGGCCGTATTGTCCGATCGAGGCTACATAGGGAGCAGCGAAGGCTATTCACAGTCAGTTGTACTGAGTCAGTCAGTGAGTCCTCGAGCTACCTCCGAGTTAGTTTCGAGTTAGCCAGCAACCAGTCAGTTGTATTGTGGCATTTGGAGTGTACTAAGTGTGATACTGCAGATAGCAGTAATCGTAAATCTGTAATTTGGGTGACTGTAAGTGCGAATGTGAAATAAAATTCGCTACATCAAATACATCGTGAAGTTATTTGTCGCGATATACGCCCGATACGCGACAATATATAGAGATAACACAGACAAAGGTATAGATCAGTTGTCATTCAGAATTCAGTTGATTGAGGGAATTCTTGTGAAATATAAGAGTGCTGTGGAATGCAAAGTGCCGGGTCGACATTCATCAGACAAAACAGTGCCCCATCTAAGGGAGCAGACATTTTATAAGCAAGATTCCTCCAATGGCAAAGAAGTCTAGACCACAAAAAAGGTGTGTTGTGTGTCAGAAGAGCGGGAGGAAGAAGGAAACTGTGTACTGGTGTGACGTGTGGTGTGGGACTCTGCATCAAGTGTTTTGACGACTACCACACCCAGCTGAATTTTTAAGGTAATATTGTTCATAATTTTTATAAGCCTACTGTTCCAAAAATAGTTTTAAGGTAGTGTGAATCAATACTCCGATTCTGTATACTTTTCTGAATGTTGTGTGAAAATCTGAAAAAAAAAACTCCAGTTTTTCCTGAATTATTACACTTCTCTAAGTGAAATGTTGCGCTCTCTGATTTAAATACTTAAAATATCCACTGGCATGGGAGTTGAGTAGGCATTTAAATGCCCACCAGTGGTGGATGGTTAAATCCGATTACCAACGCAAACATCTGTAGTAACTGAAATCATTACAATATTAACACAATGTGGACCGGTGATTTAAATATTTAAATCACCCTGGGGACCGGCATCATTAAACCTACTATCCTAACATGTGCACTATTCACTTTAAAAATTAATATAAAATCTCCTAATTAATTTTATGAACTAAAACGTTTGGAGAACACTTACCAATGCTCCTAGAAGTGCTTGAGAGTGTGATATTTCTGGAAACATTCCCCTTTGTGAAGTGGCATTACACAGAACTTGCGATGTAGACGGTCATACTCAATTTTCTTTTTGTGAACTGTGCAAACACAGCATTGCCTAGAAGGATGCTTCCCCTTGGAATGTTCCCTCTTCACAATTTTCAAGAGGGTATGTTTCCACATACCACCCAAGAGTTGCCCTGGTGGGTCCACATGAGGCCTGCGTGGGGTGGGAGTTGATGGGCCCGGTCACACTAAGTCTGTGTCTGACTCTGGTTCTGCCGCCACCATCTGGTCTGTAGCCCAGGCCTTTGCCACATTCATCAGAAATGCTTTGTATTTCAATTTTGAAAGAGGGTTTAGATTTTTGTGATTTTTTTTTAGATTTTTTGCTGTCCTTCCAATGGTCCTACCCGCATTTTCATTGGAGCTACTGTCACTTTTACTGTCTGTGGCCACAATTCTTTGTTGTCCCCTGTCACTGCCACTGTCTGAGTCACCATCACTACGCATCTCACAAGGCACGTAAGCTAGCTCATCGGAGAAGAATTTGTCCTTGATCCATACTCCACCAACAACTACTGGGTGATACATACAACTTGAAGACAGGCAAAGCATTTTCCTTTAGAGTGGGTTAAAAAAACAGTGAGGTCATGTTACTGAATACTAAGCACAAATCAAATATATGTATTTTTGTTTATTTCTGTTTTATTTAATGATGCTCTCAGTATCTGAACAACCATCACTGTGGGGGGTAATGTGGGAGCCATGCATATTGAATCATTAGCTGATCAGCGCAGACTATAGCATCACCACCCATTGGTTTGTGCGCCACTAGCAACAGCGTATAAAGATGTGGACCTCTGACATGGTACTCGTCAGTTACAGTCTAGGAACCATCCACTGCTATGCAAGAGCTCAGTAATCATGTTTCTGTGGAAACAAATTGGTACAAAACTTTAACGGAGCTGTAGAAGCCAGTGATTCTTTTCTGGTCAATGCCTAAGTTACGTAGCATGAACCAAATTGGAGGCCAGAAAATACAACAGGAAGGCAGTACAGACGCAGAAGAATTTCCATTGTCCAAAGCGCTACTGATGAAGGCACAGCAGACTGGAAAATTGTTGTAGTTGTAAGAAGCTCATCCATATATTCATTCAAGCAACAATAGTCATTATAGAAATTTACTGCATGATTGTCTCTTCAAGCATCAACAGGCCCACAGAAGTAAGCAATCAGGGTATAATTTGAGATACTGTCCAGCATTTTCCTGGAGGGACTGAGGAAAACTACAGAAGCCTCCAAATGAGATTAACTGGGCATCTCCAGAATGCAAGTCAGAAACATTGCCACATGAGGCATCTGTAGTTGTCTGAGAGAATTGGCTGTTATATTTGTGGGAATTTGGTGTAATAAGCAAGTGAATACATGCAGTTGTTATCTGCATTCTACAGTTTTAGTTTTTGTTCCTTTTTTTAAATAAAATCTAGCTGAAATTATTGATATTGGAAAAATGTATGTAAATTGAAGCTATATAATGGATCAAGTTAAAAGTTATGATCCTTGTGATGCCATTTGTTAGTCTGTCATAATGACTGAATTTTTATATAGATCACTCATGTAATGTTTTTGTATGACCAAAACTTCAGGTTCCACTTTCCTGGTGTTCATCTTATTTCTTCTCTTCCTTTGTTATTTAATGATACTGTCAGTATGGAGACTGTATAGTGTTGGAAATAGGATGCTTAATGAATGAGGATCGGTTGATGGAATGACAGTTTTTCAGGAGAAAACCTATCCCAGCGCAATTTTAATTATGAATGATTTTTACAAAATTCTGATTATATAAACAAATGATTCTTAGGATTTTATTGGATTTTACTATATTTGCAAACAAATGGAGGTGGTTGATCAGATGATTTCTCAATGAATAGATGTGAATAGTGATTCACAGTCAGAAGCAAGGATTAATAAAACAGATATGAAACAGGCATAATTTATTATGACTGTTAGTGGCAAATGTGTGTTATTTTTTGTGCAATATATATGGTTGTGTATGTTTTTTATATAAAACAGTTTTCGTGTTTTTTATGCTAATAAGCCCAAATAAAAAGGTGGTGCAGAAAATATTTTTGTTAAGAAATGTGCACAAAGAGATCTCTAGGTATTATTTTATACACACAGCATGTTCAGCAGCTGCAGAATTCACCTTTGTCTTCAGTATCCATATTATTGAAATATGTATTTTGTTGCAAATTATTTAATGCTATGTAGGCTTTGAACTTAACTAACCATAGAAAAGGTGAAAGATTTCAGTAGCATTGCATCTCATTTTCTGTCTGTATTTCAATCAGTTGAGCTTGGGTTTCAGACTGTTGATTGCTATTACACCACACTTGTATTCTTCCTTGGGATTTGCTTTGCATCATCCATTTTGAAACTTGGTTTCCGCAGCAACCTGTTGTCATCCCTACTGCTAGTTCAACGTCAATTACAGCAACAATAACAGCAGCAACCCCAACTGTGCCTTCTAGCAGTAGTCCAACAAATACAAAGGAGGAAGGTTTCGTTCAAGAACGGCGTCCATCATGGAGACTTAGGGTTGATAATGGAGACAGGAGCAAGGTGTGTCCCATTGTGTGTGCGTGCACCCAATATCTGCCGTGTCTTAGTATTTCAGGCACTTGCAGCAGCAGGTTCCATGCATCTTACTTTAGCTTCAAGTTCATGTCATTAGATTCAGCACAGCATCCTGCAAGACTTAATTGACTCTTACTATATGTTTTTCCTTTAATACGTTGCTACTCTTCTTCGTTTGTAATGTCTTCAGATTTCAGTAGATGTTATTCACTGCAGTATTCATTTAAATAAGTGTTCTACTTTGTACTTTCTTGAGCACTTCTCTTTTCTCTTTGCCTGTAGTTCATTCTTAAATCTGCTCAGTTCTACATAAACATTTTTGTCCCATTCTGCCATTGTGTTTTACCTACATACACTATATTCATTTCAAAGTTTTTCCCTTGCATGCTGTCATAAAACACCTCTGTGTACAGGTGTTCAGGCTGTTTACTTACGCATGTGTACCATATGTTTATATTATGCATGATAATGCCTTTTGATCTGATTGTACATGTTGTCGTCATTTGTAGTAGTGGTAGTATGTTCTTTTGAGGAAATAGTTAAGTACAGATTCTGTGCGCATAGATTTTTCTTGATTTAACCTCAAAATACTTCACCATTCTTATGTTCATAATTGTTGATTTGTAAGAAGTATTCCATTCATAATTTTAGGAATGTTTATAATGCAGTTATACAAAATTTCATGTTCTTAGCTCTAGTAGTCCATTAGTTTTCACTGTCAGACTGAAATGTAAACAGACGTACTCATATGGCTACCATGCTGTTATCACCCTTTTACAAAAGACATTACATTAGTAGTAGTGCATATTTTACAAAGACCTGTTACCAAGAGTGAACAGTTAATATACAAAACTATAATTTTGCCTGTGGTTCTGTACAGGTGTGAAACTTTGTCTCTGACATTAAGGGAGGAACATAGACTGAGGGTGTTTGAGAACAGGGTGTTAAGGAAAATATTTGGACCGAAAAGGGACAAAGTGACAGGAAGTTGTAGAAAACTGCATAATGAGGAGCTTCATAACTTGTACTCTTCTCTAAGTATAATTAGAATGATCAACTCAAGGAGGATGAGGTGGGCAGGTCATGTAGCACGAATACGGGAGACAAATGTGTATAGGATATTGGTGGGAAAGCCGGAAGGAAAGAGACTACTGGGAAGACCAAGGCGTAGGTGGGTGGACAATATTAAAATGGATCTTAGAGAGATAGGATGGGATAGTATGGATTGGATAGATCTGGCTCAGGATAGGGACCAGTGGAGGGCTCTTGTGAACACGGTAATGAACCTTCGGGTTCTGTAAAATACTGGGAAGTTCTTGAGTAGCTGCAGAATTGGCGGCTCCACAAGAAGGGCTCAGCTCCATGAGTAAGTAAGTAAGTAAGTAATACTCGTATTTTACAACCTACTTGGCTCTTTTGATCATTGCCTGATGTTCGGTTTCTTTTCAGCCTTGTAATATAACTCTCAACCTCAGAAGAACTTAGGCTCATGAGCTAATCTTGATTAATATGTATTTAAATCATTAGCACCATGTAGATTTAATACTTTACTTCTGGCACCTCTGCATTTGTCTTACCTACCCATTTTCACTTTTGCCTAGTAACCCCCCCTTTCCCAATAAATTGCAAATGATTGAGTATGATAAAACTGAACTATTGTGATATGATTTTTTAAATGTATTTTATCTTATTTATTTTCTTAATGAATGTTTATTTTCATTTGTTAATAAATATTTGTACAGACATGCATTTAGTATTTTGCTTAGTTTTGTCTATTTTTGTACTCGGTTTCAGTAATTGTGCGGTATGAAATTGGGTTTCCAGGAATAGAAGAGCAATTTGTATGGGAAATACAGGTTTGACTTATGACAGCTCTCCAGGAACCATTTAGGCCCTAAGTGTAGAGATTACTTGTACTCCCTTTTTTATTCATGAAAATTATTAGTTTCACATTATACGTTGTCCATATTATCTCCGTTAATTTTGCAAGGATATTTGCAGCATGTGCAAGTTAAGCCTACTCCTTTGATATAATAATTTTGAGCACTCTTTGGACACTGTGGTTTCTGCTGCTTTAAGTTATGACAGCTGAGACATCAGGTTGCCAAAGGAATCCTTGCAAGTCTGAAGACCTATGTAACATTTTCTATTGTGAAAGGCTGAATCTGTGAAAAATAATAGCTTTGCTTATAGGTATGTGAGGTTAATTGACTTTACTTGGTAACCTTTTTTTAAGCACATATATGCTTGTCCCTTTGTTCCTTTGAACGCTGCTTGTTGTACCAACTGCAAATTGGTCTTATTAGGATATTCTAACATGTGTATTCTTGGTTTTTCTGTAGCACATAATCTGTTTCATATTTGTCATGTTGTAGGTATTTCCTTTTATGTGTATGTGTGTTTGATTTTATTTATTTTTTGCTGTGATTAGCAAACACACAGAAAACTGAGCATATGTTGCTGTCTCATCACCAAAATGAAGGGCAAAATCGTGACATAAAGATAGGAAACGGATGTTTTGAAAATGTGGCACAATTGAGATATTTGGGAACAATGATAACAAATCAAAACCTGATTCAGGAGGAAATTAAGAGGAGATTGAACTCAGGTAATGCTTGCTACCATCCAGTCCAGAACCTTTTGTCTTCACATCTGCTGTCTGAAAACATAAAAATTAGAATATACAAAACTATAATTTTGCCTGTTGTTCTGTTTGGGTGTGAAACTTGATCTTTGACATTAAGGGAGGAACATAGACTGAGGGTATTGAGGAAAATATTTGGGCCAAAGAGAGATGAAGTCATATGATGTTGGAGGAAACTGCATAATGAGGAGCTTCATAACTTGTACTCTTCTCCAAGTATAATTAGAATGATCAAGTCAAGGAGGATGAGGTGGGCAGGGTGTGTAGCACGAATGAGGGAGAAGATGACTGCATATAGGATATTGGCGGGAAAGCCAGAAGGAAAGAGACCACTGGGAAGACCAAGGCGTAGGTGGGTGAACAGTATTGAAATGGATTTTAGAGATATAGGATGGTATGGACTGGATTGGTCTGGCTCAGGATAGAGACCAGTGGAGGGCTCTTGTGAACACAGTAATGAACCTTCCGGTTCTATAAAATGCTGGGAAATTCTTGAGTAGCTGCAAAATTGGCCGCTCCTCAAGAAGGGTTCAGCTCCATGCATAAGTAAGTTTGCTGTGATTACACTTACAACTCATTGTTTCTGCATCGTGTCTAATCCATTATTAGACATACATTTGTGAGAAATACACATATTTGTTCCTCCTCACATTGTACCAGTAATATCTAACATTTCTCAAACTGACACCATTCTTTGAGGGTGAAGATTTACAATGTACCTGTTTTATTTGTTACTAATACTTTAGTAAGTTATCCATTAAAAATTTGCTGAAAGTGAAACTTAATCAGTGAAACCTTTTTGTTTCAAATAACAGTTAATCCTTAAAGAATCTGCAAAAGTAATCAATAACATGGTAGCTTATAGCTGCAGCTGGAGAAGAGCTGAACTGTATACTATAAAAACCCACAGTTAAGTGACTTCCACAGAACTTTCATTTATTCACATCACAAAGGCTTAAACAGAGCTGTCTTTTACCTTCAGTTTCAGTATATGAGTTTAGTTAAATAGGGATTGTTGAGTCTGGATTATTTCATGTCACATTGGTGTTTTGTCTTCAGTCTTCAAATTAGCCAAAAGAGAAAATAGTGTATTTTCAACTGTAATTACCACAGAAGCAGTCCCTGACATTGTTCTTGAATATCTGGTTCAGAAATGAACAGTACTAAGTAAAGTGTTCTTGTACTTTGATATGCTGAGAAGTATGTAACAGGCATAGTTTTTAACCCATAAATTTGTGTTTCATGTAACATCATACTTTCAATGACAGTATCTCATCAGTACATTCCACATAGTCACTAATTTTCAAATTCAAGTACTTACTCCTGAATGTTGTAGATATGTCTGTTTACTAGACTATTGCATAAAATGCAGCTTTGTCAGTAAAGGGGGTTGATCACAGGAATTCATGTTCATTGTATTCCAACATAGAGTTCAGTGATTGTAAATGATTGTGATCAGTGTCTGGCTGTGGTTATCTGAGCCATCTGCTTTTATTACAGAGTGTAGTGAGCTGTTATTCAAAATTGATTTTTCTGTGGGACCAGTGTTGTCTTTTGATATTATATGTTTGAATAGCAGTCTGGCATTGTTTTTAATTTCAGATTGTGTATTGTATTTCATTGTGAAATGAAATGTTGTTATAACATCTCTAAATTGATATTAAACAATGCTTACAGACTTAACATTTCTTATGCATAACTGTCTGTTGCATAGATGCCATTTTACTTTAATATTCAGCATGTTCTCCACAAATTCACATGCCTCAAATAATAGAAGAATTTTAAAAAATTAAAATACGTTCTGCATTCTTGTCCTTAGGTCTTTGCAGCCTGTGTCTATTGCATGACTTGGCTCTCAGGGTTTGTTTGTTTTTATTCGCCCTGTAGATCAATTACATTGACATAGGACATGTTACTCATATTATACAATTATTGAAATACAGTAGTAATTATAAATGCAACATATTCTATGTATTCACTTATCAGTAGCTGATATTGAAGAATTCTTCATTGAGACAGGCTGCGTACTAACAGCATCCTTTGATGAATCGAGTTCCTTCTTAAAAATGGATGTTATTACACGTTTGTTTTATTGTTAGTTTGTTATTGAAGATACAACCTGCTGCTGATGGTTTACTATATATAAAGTTGTATATTACGTGTATGTACACATTATTATTATTATTATTATTTCCATGGATCCGCCATTGCTTAACTATGTTGTGTGTTGATGCATTTCCACGCTTCACATATTGCTGGTGACTGCAGTGTGCATCAGAATGCTTCAGCACACAACAAGTCAAAGCTATACCATTGTGCATTGTTATACAGAACAGTAATTAGGTGAGGTGCTACCACAGTGAACTGTTGCCAGATGTTACTAATCAGGCACAGTTTATATTTTTACCACTCAGAAGATTCAAGAATATCTACAGCTTGTCCATTTTAGATTTGAGGGTTATTCAATAGCAGAAATTTTATTCTGTTAAAGAATGTTTAAAAATTCTTTATGGACTTTCTCAAAAAGTGACTTGAAACAGTTTTTCTTTTGATAAAATATTTTTTAAATTTAATTTAGAATGTCAGGTGAAATGCTATTTCTGAATGATGTAGTGCAGAAGTGTTATTTATATGCTGGAAATTTAGGTAGAATTGTAAATATAAAATTAAAAGGAAATCTGTTGGATCAGTCTCTTCCTGAATGTCCTTCCTTTCAAGATTCATCCTACAGCATTGTCCCTGGTTCAGTTTTTCCGTCATCTCTGTTCAACTGTCGGTCATTTGTGTCTGCATCCCTGGCACCCTGCCATTCCTGTGTGGTGGGTTATCCTTTTGCAGGCAACAGCCAACTTCCGGTATCCATGATTGCCCTGGGTCTGTTTCTTTGGCTGACCGTGGTGCCCTACTGCTAGATGACAGTCCCCATGCAGCTGCTTCAGTACTCCGACAGTTGTCACTGCGGCCTCTTAGGGACTTCCTCATGCACCACCGCAGACTCTGTCTCCCCTGAGGTTGGCTCTTTGCTCTCCAGACAGGCCTCTGCCTTTTCTAAACAGGCATCCATCAGTTCTCGGTTGGCCTCCATCTCTTTTTCCAGGCCCTCATCTTTTCTGTGATCTCCCTTATATTGGCTTCCATTTTTCTTAGTTCTGTATCATGTGTTCAAGCGATGGCAGTTAGCAATTTTGTTGATTTGGCCATGCTTATCTGTCACGTAGATCGCAAACTAGTAATGCACCCAATCCAAGCACTTCTGACACCAGTTGTCATGTGTATATGTGACTGTAGATGGGGTATGGATTGGTGAATAGATTTATTGACCACATACAGGTTATAACTACAAATAATTATAACACTCGCTGATTTCCACACTTTACAGATCACTACACACTAAGTCTACTGCAGCCTGTAGTGTCTGCACTAGTCATTGCTTTGTAACAACTCTCAGCAGTGGAGATTCTTCAGCTTCTGTGCTCACGTCATTACAGTCCAGCAAATATCCCAAAACTGAACTCTCAACTGAATTGTAGTGCCATCTCTTCTCAGCCTCCCTTACAGAACTCCAACTATTAACTGACCACTGATTGCTCTAACTTCCTAGTTGTAATTTCTCAGCACACACCACAAAGAAAACACTGTACTTCTATTGTCACATGTGTATTCATTGTCATGGGAACATTTTTGCTTAACTGTTGTCCACAAACAGCCATTGTTTATTTGCCTGTCTCACACACACACACACTTCAGTATGTTAAAGAATGGTTAATTTGGAGTAATATGTACTAGTAAGCATTCATTCACAGTGAACCAGGCATATTCATTAGCCACCAAAATGATCCTACACAGTGTGTCTATTACAGCTTTCAGAATATTAAACATGTACCTGTGAAATGCATGTGATGTACAGTGTGTGATGTATTCAGTGACATAGCAGAATGTACAGTGCACTGAAGCTGGTTACAAAAATATGGCAGCAACTTGACAGCTGCCTAACTTAAAATATTCAGATATTATTTTAGTAGTTTCTTAAATGGATATAATGAAGCAGAAATATCCAGAATATTGTTTATTGTGTGAGTAATGCAATTTTACTAGTGTTAAATTTTGATTAGTTTGCCAGAAATAATAAAAAATTGAACAAAGTTTGCCGTAGTCCAGCAGTTCATTTTTGGTGCTTTATATACTGTAGGAGAGGTTTTAAAGGGAATGTTTTTCTCATAAAAATCCAGTTAAACATGACAGAAATATTATAGGAGTGTCTGAAGATGGAATATGGATGACAGTACCATAGGGGCATAGATTGACCACATGTCATTTCCTGCATATCTAATTCAATTCTTTCGTTTACTTAGATATTAACAACTCTGTTATTTCTGTGAGCAGTTTATGTTGGAGGATGCTCGAAATCGGAATACTGTCAGTGAAAATACATCGCCATATGTAAGGAGGCTGACAGGAGGTACTAACACAGCAGTCCGTCCATCCTCTGCTCCAGTTGAAAACAATATTGCAGATGCTACCCTCACGATACCTCTCCGGCGTCAGACGAAGCCACCCGATGACAAAGGTAAGACTAGTCAACTTGTCTGAAATGTCTCATTTTTTATGGTCCATTAATAAAACTACGTGTAATTAATGATTCACAGTTTTCAGTTTAGAGAAATGAGAATATGCTTGTGGCATATTTAAAAAATAATTCTGTGTGGTAAAAAATGTGCCTTTTCACCTCATTTCCCATAATGAAAAGTGACATAACTGATGGGTATAACAGCTGTTTCTGCCAGTTTGTAGCTTTTTTCAGAATAGCAGTTTTCATTAACTTAGCAGAAATAACATGTATCGTAATTTTAACACACTTACCTCCATACATAATAAAATCACTTTCCGAAGTCAGGTTATAACCGTAGCCAGAGTCAGTTAGGAAATTTTATTTGAATATTTGTAGAGAATGCTGCTTTTTGTGTAGCCAATTTACATTATAAAAATGTTCCTTTTAGAACTGCAAAGTCTGTGAGTGAAAGCAAACCTCGATCCATTTTCAGTCTTACAGATTTGTTCGATGAAGGAAATGCATTTTTGGAAAATAACTAAATAATCGGTACAGTCTACAACTGAAAGCATGCTGGGATTTGAGGTTTTCCAGTGGTTAGTAGTACAGTTGTGACATCTTATAGTTAGGAAGATGGGTACCAACATTTCAGACAAACCTGCTGTCTCCATCTATTGGGTACAGAATTTTTCTGACCAGAAGGTGGAAGGAACAAGTTAGTCCTAAACTTTGATATCTTCCAAACTGCATTTCATGTTCCAGAAGACCATAATCTCAGTGTGAACTCATGCTGAAGATGTCATCTGTAAGTAACCCAGTATTCTGTTGTGGAATTTACAAATTTTCGCTGTTAGTCACATTGAAATTTTGCATAGAAAAACATTGCAACTTATTGTTTTAGGCTAGTTTCCAAAAGTAAAAACAGCCATATGGAACAGCACATGCCCTCTCAACAGTTGTTATTTTTATTGGCTTAATAGCTTTTGAACAATGGCCAATTTTTATGGAACTTATTATTGGCCATTGCCCTGAATAAAATGGGGGAAGAACATTAAATTAGCCTCAAAAATATTACAGAAAATGTATTTTTAATCATTGTGGATTTAGTGGAATATTTACAAGCCCCATTCACAGTGAAGATTCAAGTTATAGTTCTGCATTCTTTGTAGCAACAGGGTGCTGTGGTCTTCAGTTTGCATGAAAACCTCTCTGTGTTCTACAGAAAACAACTTGCTTTACCTTCTGTATATTACTGCAGTCTTCCCATTGTATACTGTATTTTTGCATTCAGAATAAGCAAGAAAACATTTTATACCATTCTGCATTAGCATTAAGTAAATTGTATATTTTTCTTTCCAAAAACATTCTTTAACATAATGTGCTGTTGAATGTATCTGACTGTGATTTGTCCCAATTCATTTTACAGATTTTGTTGTCACTCCATTCTCCTTTTGTTTTCTTGGCTTCTCTTAGATGTGTAATACACACATGTTTGAAAAATCTGTGATTTTCATACTGTATCATTTGAATATGTACTACATGTAATGAGATTTGCTAAAGTTACTACTTTCACATCTTCATCGTGTGTAATTTCTTTCTTCAGTTCACTAAACAGTCCAGCAAATATGTAATTGTAGAAATAATAAAGATTCTATAATTCTGTGAAGGTATTTCAGTTGGTAATCCAGTGTTAAGACAGTGGCAGGAAACAGACATATTCGGGAATCCCATCACTTAACAGATAATTAATACTCCTGTTCCTTAGCCATTGGTATTCCATTCCTCAAGCAGAGCCATTCTGGTAAAATTATGGCATTTTTGTGTACAATATTTGCTTCAGATGTTTCTGTTTTTAAGCTTAAACTTGTGGAAAGCAAGAATATTTTAACTCACAGATGCCATAGTACCTTCTGTTTCTCATACAGAGTTTTGCATTTGCATTGAGTATGTATTGGGTTTTGATTATAGTATGCAGTTTACTTTTAGAGAGGTCATATTGGGTTCAAATGTCATTCTGTATTTGTAGTGATATAAAAGAAGTAAAGATATATATAAATGGGAAATGTTCTTACATATTTTCATCAACTTCCATTGTAACACAGTGCAATTTTAAAAGATATTTGAGTTCTGCTGGTAAGAGTATATCTCTGAATGTGGGTGGAGGTGTTACGCAAACTGGCATGTGTGGTGGGAGAAGCACACAACTCGACCAAGCTTGCCAAGAATGACTGTGTGCTGGGATAACAACTATTAGTTCAAGTTGCTTGGCAATTTCTATATGTTTCTGTACGTATACAACATTCTACAATTACTCTAACATAATTGATTAATCAGTTACTGTATGTAGAATTGAAGAGTCCTGGTATGTTTGTGCTTTTTCAGAGCAAGATAAGGAGAATGACATCCGAAATGCACAAGCAACACAAGCTGTGATACAGAGGCGGCGGCGGCCCAAGAGAAGATCAACTGGTGTTGTTCATGTTGATATGGATGTACGTAAATTTTTCCTGCCAATTGAATTTATGAAAGTATATTTACTCATACGTTCCAGACATGGGTAAAAAATGCATACAGAATTTTGTTAAGAAGCCCTGAGCTACCAAAATTACATAGAAGACCTAGGTATAGATGGGAGGATAATATTAAAATGTATCTTAAAGACATGGATGCGAGTGTATGAGGTGAATTTATCTCCTTGAGGACAGCAAACAGTTTCAGTCTGTTGTGAACACAGCAGTGAGCCATTAACTTACATAAAGTGCAGTTTGTTGTGGATATCAGATCTTACCCTTGTAATCTGTTGTCAGTCTGAAAGAAACTTGAGATGTAAAGAAAGTAAGTGTGGTTGAAATTTTTGTGGTATGTATCGTCTGCAATGTGAGAGACCAGTCAGTGATATTTGGCATTTGAGAGAATTAGCAGCAGTTGTTTCTACGTGGGTTACTTCAAAAGTCATGGCAGCTAATTTTTGGGGGGGCAAACATGTTACAGTGAATAAAGTTCAAAATATGTTTATGAAAGGGCATGATATATCCCTCAGATTGGCTTAGTCAGATCAGGTAGATGTGAAGGAGCATAGGTATAGTAGGCAAGAAAAATTGCACATTACAGAATGACTGTTCCCCCCCCCCCATTCTTTAATCCTTCACTAA